TTGTTTTCAGCCCGCGTGGGCTCAATGGTTCTTTTCTAGGGCTCTATGCATACCTATACATCCATCTCAAAAAACGCTTCCGAACAATGAACTTCCTGATCGCTAACCAGGTTAATACCTCAACGGGGTCTTCGAATCGGTCGCACTGTTCCTTCGTCTCCGCGGACCCTCCGCGAGGTCCAGAGCTCGAGATACACGTGTCGCAGGTCCAGTTCACTGAGGAGACCTGTGCGGAGAAAGCTCCACCTATGGATCGACCGGATATCTCGGACGAGGAGGCGCCGTCCCCAACGCAGTATTACTATCCACCGAGAACGTCCAGAGCTCACGTGCGCCATTCGTCAATACCTGTGATGGATGAGAAGAGGCAGAGGCAAGTGGCGAAGATACTCTTGCTAAACGCGTATCCCATAGCGTATATTGTGTTGTGGATACCAGGGTTGTGTAATAGGCTGGTGGAAGCGTCGGGACATACATCAAGAGTACTGCAGCTTATGCAGGCCACGACACAGTTCGTAGGATTCACTAACGCGTTGACCTATGGATGGAATGAGAATGTGGCTAACAGCATGAAGGAGGCTGCTAAACGACGGTGATTGCGTACGTCTCTGGTGTTATAGAATATTGTATTATTATTCACGATGTGTGTATTTGTAGCAAGGATCTCAGGTAATGACCGAAACCCCTAATTCTGCGGACAAACGAATTGAAGTGAGAAATGAGTTGCAGCATAACACCTTCGATCAGCGCATAACTTTGTCTGCGCCGGCTGGGTACCGATCGAGAACGAAATTATGCACGTAATGATGAGATGAGATGAGATGCATTACATCAGCGCCTTTGCTCTGTACGAATTTCAACAGCCCAGAAAATAAGATCGAGCTGATGGCCTTGCTGCTTTCCCGCGAGACTCTTGTAATCCTAGATTTATGTCTGTTACATATGAGACAAGAAATGAGGTCCACGTTCGTTTTTAGTTCATACTTTCGTTTCAGGCTGCCAGTGCTTGTTTGCAAGCGGACTGAGTGTCAGCATACAGAGCGCAGACATTTCGGAAATGAAATGAAGTGAAGACAAGATTGCAGCGTAGTGTTGGCACGACTCGGCCTCGAGTCGCCGAGTCAGTCGAGCGGAGCCGAAATCGCCTGAGCCGAGTCAACTTCGGCATCAAATGGCTCGACTCGGCTCCGACTCGACTTGTATGGCTTGAAGCCGGCTCAAGTCATGACTCCATCCGATTTTGGAAAGCTATCTTTACCATGCCTGATTGGACTGAGAGGGGTATTTATGAGATGATTTAATCATGTCAACTTCGTTAAATGTGTATCAGAAGAAGGGAAACTTAGGACGCTCTTGTTCTTTTCAATTTCTGACCGGCACCCCGGAGCAGAAGTCCATACTAGACAACGTGGGAAAATGTCAATTTAAATCGGCGCATTTTTGCCGCGCCCCTTTCTGGGCTAGCAAGCTTTCAGTTTTTGTGGCCTGTATGTCTTGAGAAGTCTTCGGAGTGGATAATTATGACTTTAGATATACATTTACAGACTTTTGAAGCCACTTTCATGTATATATCATCTATTATTGTAGATTTCTTCTTTAACCTTCCTATTTGGGTGTAGAGTCAATGACTCGGCAAAAGTCATCGGCTTTAAGCCGAGTCAAGCCGAAGTCGAAGAGTTCAATTGACTTCCGAGCCATTCCGAAGCTGAGTCATCCGAAGTCGAGTCGAGTTGAGCCGTAGCAACGGTATATCATTTTCCGTTGGCTGCGTGTCTTTGTGAGATCTCTGCCCGACGATGCGTCCTGAGCTTTTTACTGATCCCAGATTTTGGGGGACGCAGACTCAAGTGAAACGCGAGTTCGCTTTCGTTCTTTTCTTCACTTCATACCATCGTTTGTCGGTATAGCAATAAGAGGAAAATTAACATCACTTGCACGAAGTTGAAAGTTCAGTGGATTCTTGGAATTTAAACTAAGAACTTGTTACTAATTACAATAACTACTTCCAAGACAGAGTAGCGCACGAAACCTGAGTTTTGATACACCGAGGTTAGTTACTGCAGGTAAGTTACCTCACCTCGCTGGAGGAAATTTTTGTTGCGGTAACTTGGCAATCATGTAACTGCGATAACTTACAGTGACAAAAGTACTCCTCCTGGGGAGGGATCGGTAACAAACGGTTATCCGAGAACTGAAACCTTACCTTTACATTGGTATAACGTTCCTCTCATTGTGCAGCATCATTGAAACAATCAGGGCCGCTTATACTACACTTTGTGGAAACTCAGTCTCATCTCATACAAGCCCAGTGCCATGCCAAAGTCGAGTTATACATTAATCACGTTCTAGCTCGATACATTAAACAACAGGAAGTAGGATAGGTATACAGAGACATACAATTAATACACCAGACATTCCCAAAAACATAGCGTGTACAGTACAAGGCATTACTATTACAACAATAAACACTTACCGAGGGTCAACGAAATCCAAAGTCGGATCCAAACCCCTCACGAACTTCTCCATGCCCCTCGCCAACCCGCTCTTCTTCTTCCCGTCCATCTCAGCCGATTCGTCATGATGAATAATTCTCGCCCGGTCCTTCCTTTTCTCCTTCCCCTTCCCTTTCCTCAATACACTGCCAGACCTCCCCACACTAGATCCCCCAAACAACAGCGACGGCATACTCGGGCGACGCGTCGGGCCCTGCTCATGCAGCTGCGGCTCATCCGATCTACTGTGTCGCAACTCACGGCCGTGCCCGTCAACGAGCACGTTCACATTCAGCGCCCCGGATCTCCTGTATAGCGACTCAGAGGATGACGGGGACGATAGCGGGGGCGTCGTCGCAGGAGAAGCAAACGGCGGGACCGAGGTTACCACACCCGAAGGCTCCAAGGCCATTCTGTCAGACTGCTCCTGGTAGTAGTCCGCGTCGTCCTCTTCCTCGTCTTCATAATCCTCGTCATTCGTCGGCTCTTTCTCACGCTCCTTCATAGCGGTGGCCTGCCTCGCCAGATCGACCATCCACCCATCCCACTCAGCCAGCGAACCCGTATCGCTCTCGTCCTCTTCTATCTCTTCTTCCTCCTCTCTCATATGTGCCAGACCCCACATCAGACACCCCATGGCGCCACCGATGTTCCCCATTCCGGCTTTACGAGCGCGGTGCACAAGCCCCGTACGCCATTCGGGGAACGCCAATGCACCATAGTTGTGTGGTAGAGAAGGGAGCAGTGAGCTCGGGTGCGTTGAAGTCGACGTGGGCGGAGGAGTAGGAGGGATGGGCGTGCTCGGTGAGTCCAACGAAGGTAGAAGGCTCGAGACAAATGTTGATGCTTCACAGATCGACAAGTGCTCATGCGGAAATAGCCGATGAAGAGTACGCAGTAAGGACAAGTACCCGCTATCTTCGAGCAAGTCCAGGACGATCCATTCACCAATTTCTGATGATTTTTCTCCTGGTGGGTCGATTGAGGGCAAATCGTCGTCATCTTCCGCAGAGCCACGGATTTTAATGGCTCTGTCATGTCTATATCGATAGCGGGGTAGGCCCAAGACTGACTTGATATCATTCTCATCGTCATGATCATCGCCGTCCTCGTCCGTTGGGTCGTGAGCGAACACGGGAGAAGATAGCGTTGAATCAGAGTCGTCTTCGCCGTCTGGATTAGTTGAGTCTGAGTCATGCCCGGTTTTACGAGGCAGGTGAGATATTGTTGATGCACGTTTCCGCGTTCGTCGAAGGTCTATGGTCAACGGTGGTGGGGGTTTCTTAGGGGGAGATATTACGGTGAACGTCGTTGATGGCACAGTATCTTTCTCAGACGAGACTGTTTCGACTACTGTCGATGTCGTGACACTCGAACGTATTTTGAACTTGGCGCAAATGATCCGCATTTCCGGGGTGACCTCAATGGTGTTCTGCTTGAGGTGATCTGACCCTCGAATCGCGGTCAAATGGGACAGGAAAAGAGCCTTGTGTGGGATGGGATCCTTTTTGCCAACGTGAGAATGAAAGAAGAGCAACCTGATGAGAACAAGCTTACTGAACGGTCTTTACACAATTGCATCTGACCCTCTCTGACCACCACCCACCGGTCCTTCCACTCAACTTTGCTTTCTTTCCCCCCGTCACCCATCACGTTCTTCTTCTTCCCATTCGAATTCGTGACTGCCTTTGCCCACCCTTCCCAATAAGGTTTCGCATATTCTGACGGTGCCGTTCTCTGCAGCTTCAACACGACACCGACACGATGGACCTCAAATAGCTCTCCAGGCTGAATATCATACCAAGCGAAGGCAAAGTCATCCTCCAAGATCTGACCTGTCGAAAAGCGTAGCAGAGTGAGACGAGAAGGCTCGTATGCCGAGCGGTGATGGGGATGTATAGGCTCCGAGGACGAAGTAGATTTCTTCTTCCGTCTGGCCTTCAACTTAGCTGGAGGTGGCGGTTCTGCGGCAGGTAACGCAGAAGTACTGGGGAGCTGAGCAGGCAATTTTTGCACGTCATCGCCCTCGGCATCGGCTTCGTCATCCTCCTCGTACCCACTGCCGACCCTTGTACTAAATTCAATGGGCGATATAGGTCGATGATGCTTCGGCGGTGCGAATACAATGGGAGAAGGAGACCTGTGCCGTGGCTCGGGTACTTCAATGTCGACTTCCTCCTTGATGTGGGATATGCATTTTGATAGAATCCAGTGCTTTACTTGTTTCACCTTCCAGGCAGGGTCGACGTGGGTGGTGAGCCATTGGTCGTATGGAACTGCAGGAAAAGGCATCATTCAACTGGCGTGAGCCCAAGAGCAGATACTCACTGAATCTGCAAGATATGGGTAGCAACAAGGCAGATTCATCCATCGTCGTCGTGGTAGAAAAGAAGAAAGAGAATGATAGAAATGATCATCATTCGAATTTACAGATATATTCATCACGTGAAAGAACAGTGCGTAGTGCCCAGTACCGTATTCATAATCCACAATTATAGATAAGAATATGGCGCTATGGTGTAGTGGTAGCACACGGGATTCTGACGTAATCGAGTTCCCGTAACCCAGGTTCGAACCCTGGTAGTGCCTGTGGGCTTTTTCTATTTTTCAAGATGCTCCTTGAGCCAGGAGCCTCGGTGGGGTTGCGCACGAAACCTCCAAGGGGGAAGGGGGGGGTAACTTACCGTTTTTTACCGACCCCTCCCCAAGGGGGGTGTTTTGATACGGTAATTTACCGTTACTTACCTATCACGTGCATAATCACATGACAGACGCGCGGCAACTATAAATTACTTTTTCAGGACGTCCGTGTTCGTGTTTTAGCACATTTTCTTTGTCAAGGATGCTCTAAGTCATCTGAACACATTGAATATTCACCCCTGCACCACGTATGCAGAATATACATGTAATTGTATTGAATTTTCATGCTTATCAGGTAGTCACATGATGTGTAAGTTACCTCGACGGAAAACCCCTCCAGCGAGGGGAGGTAACTTACCAGTAATAAACCCAAGTGTAACGAAACCTAGGTTTCGTGCGCTACCCTAAGCCTCGGCCCTCGTTTGCAGAGCTCCATCCTGGTGAAACTACATCATTTGGCGATTTTCGACATTCAAGAATGGTCGACCAGTCATAGTTAATGCCGTACGTACTAATCTTGAAGGCCCAAGCGATGAAGCCGTAGGAAGCGCAAGAGACTCAGAGCCCAGTGCATTCGAATTACTAAGCAGCCCGTTTGCCAATATATCAGTGAGATGTCGATAACGTATACTATTTATCCTAAAATATGTACCTACAAGGACACCACAGAGCATTTGAAAGACAGACGGCATGAATATTCCATAAGAAAAACGCGCGGAACTTCTCTTGAAGTGGATAGGTTCCTCCGGAATATTGAGGCGTGCATGCTCCCACAGTACCTGAAGGACAGCGCTGAAGCCCTGGTGTTCTTAGTCTAGCGCCAAGTTATCTGTTTACGCATCCGGATCCAACTAAAGTGGATTCAAATTCCTTTAAAGCTTAGAAGACACCTTGGAAGAGTCTTCTATCACAAATGCTAAATACCTCTTTTGAGAGCATATTTCTTCCACCAAAGTCGGACTCGGGTCAAGGTTTCCAATGACCTTGAAGCCATCGGCACGGAAATTGGCCGCACTGGGACAATCTGTCATGTTGACAGGCCCCAAGAGCAGATAGACACCGTTTGAAGTCCTCAGTATTATAGCCTCTTGGTCGACTTGTACATCGTCGGCTACTTGCCTAAGTAAGGATAAGTTAGATACGGCCATGCTGAAAACTATGTCGACCTTCTCACCGTACCGAGCGGACAGCGTCCGCAATCTTCCGGAAATTAAACGGTAAAGGGAAAGAGCCTGAGACGAACGCTGCCCTCGCAGAAGTAACCGCTTGTAAAGCGATTTGGGGTAAAACGATCAGAGGTACCGTAACCATGCCAACAGTGGTAAGGGCAGCTTTTCCCACGTCAGAATCAAGAGTCGCTTGAGTGAAGTGAATACACGGATTCAAAGAACAAAGCAGAGAAAGACATACCGAATATACGGCTAGCCACAGGTTCGAACGCTTCCCAGTCCGTCATAGGTGTGGGCATCAGAGAGAGGATCCCTTTGCCTGGTGTGTCGTTAGGAACGAAATAGAGTGCGATATCTGCCCATTGTCGGTTGGGAACCTCGCGGCACCATGCTATGAACGCGATCATGCGAAGCCATTCCGTTACGTGACCACGGTCCAATGGTGGCAGAGGCGGAAAAGATTTGAGGATATCTGCAAGCGGCTTCGAGGTCATGATGGTGAGGAAGGAAGTTGAATAAGCGCCCCAGGCACAGAAGCCGATGGGACATCGCCTTATATCGTCAACCACGACGGTGTAAAAAAGTCTTATATTGAGTTTGAAATAACAGCGTAAACTGACCATCATAACGTCCATACAAGAGAGCAAGGTCGTCAATGCGCAAGCAATTGTCGAAACCAATGAGTATGTCGCGAGAACGAGAGGATGAGAAATAAAAACAGCTACGTAGAAGCAGAAAGAAATAACGAGTCCGATGATAGAGGCGAATGAGTAGATGAATGAGCGTGCCGGTTTACTACTGGTGCCGCGCCTTCGTACGACAGTAAAGCCTTTGTGAATCAGCACTTACAAGAGTCAAGATAAACGCCGCCTCACGGTGCAGACACCCAAGCCGATCGGACTAAGTAGTCCATTCAGGGGTAGTAGGCTCGATGAGTGTTTCATAGTATGACGATGTTAAGTAGCTCGATCGCTCGCCACCATTAGCCGGAGTATTGAACGAGAACCAAACGGCGCGTGGAAAATGTTTTGCAGATATGTCTGAGGCTTGAAAGATGTTGAAACTGCTGTCCAAAATACTTCCGCTCGTCCCCTGCCAAAACAAACCACCGTAATGAACAAGCGCGCGCAGGAGGCGGCGAATGACGAGGACGAGGATGACACATAAGGAACGTCGCGGTCGTTGATTGGGATAGAGATAAGTTCCTGTGGGAAGAAGTGAATCAATGGGCTTAAGCTCCGGCTCGATGTGCCATTGAACCCCCCTGAAGCTGTTGTGGCCCCGGATCTTATGTTAGAGCATTCAAGAAGAGGGCAGATAAGATTTTAATCCAGCTTTTGACCACCACAAAATGAGTCGGGATTCTCTTTACTGGTAAAGCCGACAGAGTTTGCTGTGGTCAAAATACTACGTCAGAAACTCATCTTCATTCGAATCCTTTCCTTGGCATTTTGACCGACAAGTCACCTGCCAGGAGTGATGAGTGTAAGCAAGCACACATCCGTCCCAAGTCTCGGGTGTGCGCGAATCCAGTTCATGATCTGCCCCTAGATTTTGATGAACATGTGCAAGACTGGAACATCTACCGAAGCTCGTCAGGTCTACAATGAAAGATGGAGTAGTGAGGAAACTAACTGCGAGAACCGAAACTGCAAGCGGTCTTTCAGAAACTAGCCGAAGGGAACGAACGACAGCCTGGATGCAAACCTTCGTTCTTCATGCCATCAGCCGCGCATTATATTCTGAGGGGCAGGAATGTAAGAAAGTGCGAGCCAATAAGAGAGACAGGATACAGGATATCGGATGAGAAGGAGAAGAGTCGATGATGGTGAGCCGCCTAGACGCTCGCGCATGACCATCAAGTAAATACTCGCAAGCTTTATGGCCGTTACTCGGTGTGAGCCCGCTACTGTAGGAGATGTAGTCATCCAAATAGGCGCTCGAGATGCATAGCCCATGCATCGTCAGGATAAGACGGGTCCTTAGCCAACCCATGGCAATTACCCGAGTGATGTCTCCCTCCCGTACTGCCCTAGCACTGATCGCCATTGCAGCAGCGACATTCTTGCTGTTTATCACCACATTGGTGACGAGAATGCATCAAAGGAGAGCAAGGCATTTGGGATGGCCTGGAGAGAATTGTGATTCGCTGCCGGAAATGCGATTGGATGAAAACGAGGCACGCCGCGAAGGAAATGTGTGTTGAAGAGAAGTGGTATTTGGTATAGAACGGTACGAATTTGTCGTGGTCTGGCGGTATAGATGAACATTGACTTCGTTGCGGCCATCTAAAATGGCAGTCCTTCCACCAGTACCTTCGTCGACCTGTGCAAACGCAAAATTCCCAGCTGAATTTCTGCTAGACATCTGAATTTGCACTCGAGAATGTCCTACGGGCATCGATGCAAAGCTCGTTGCCCATCCCCAGTCCTATCCCTACAGTCTCACATCGATCTTTTCTTCCCGTGGTCAGCGTCAATCTCTTTTGTATTTCTATTGTATCCATATCATCAGTTAGTGTTGTAATTACAGCAGTATATATTATGTACTCACTCGACCGTATACATCCGCACTCCTTCCGTTTCGTCGACGTGGAAAGGAAACATGCCGAAAGCAACAACAAAGGGCCGCCCTGGCAACTTTGTCGTCTCAAATCCGAAACTCAGCACCTCTGCGCTGCTTTCTGCTTCGGGTGGTTGAACGTCCAATGCTGCTGCCACTAAAGCTTCAAGAGTGCCGTGCAGACACTTCAGTTCATGGCTTCGCCTGGAAGGCATCGTCGTTGGTGCAGAGGAACTGATACGAGACATCTGAATGTTGCGATTGATTACAGATTACAGATGATCGTAGAGTACTTTCGGTGTCCCCTGCTGTCAGAACACCGACGGTTCAGGATATGCCATGAGCACGTCAGAATCCCCGGAAATCAAAGAACAGCGCACTGTAAATCACTAGCACATGTAGCATGTATCGCCGTGCAATGTGTTGATGGCACCGAGATCAGTATAGGTGAGGCTACCGACCCGCCATTTTGTGTGTCATGAACCTAGGAAAGTGTGGGTACACGATGACATTACATGCACCAGAGTACGTCGGGGGATAGCTAAGAACACACAGGAGGGCCAGAAAAAATTTGAGGATATCTGCGAGAGACTTGCGGGTCATAGCAGCGAGGAGGGTAGTGAAATAAGCGCTCACAAGTGCTGAAGCTGATGAAATCAGCCTGTCACTTTATGGTCTACATCACGGCGCAGAGGACTTTTATGTTGAATTTGTAGGTTTAATTTTCGTAAATCTGACCATTATAAGATCCATACGAAATACAAAGCAAAAGGCAAGAGAGCAAGGTCATCAATGCGCGAGCAACTAGTCGTGATCAATAAATCGTGAAGTGGCGTGACAGGTCGTGAGAGGGAGAGGACAAGAAATAGGCAGAGCTATGTAGAAGGCGAAAGAAATAAGTTCATATAAAAACAAAGATAAAAGGGAATAGATGAATGAGTGTGTCAGCTTATTATCGCCTTCGCGCGACGATACCTACAGCAAAGCTCTTGCGGATCAGCACCTTCAAGACAACTGCGCAGACACCCAAGCCGACCAGCAGGATATATGAGGGTAGTCCACTGAGCGTAGTAGGCTCGACAAATCTTTCATAGTAGGAAGATGTCAAGAACCGTGGTCGCTCGCCACCATTGGCCAAGGGTATCGAACTGACACCAAACAGCGCATGAAGAAATTTCCCCAGATACGTCTGAGGCTCGGCTGGTGCCGAGACTGCTT